GAAGTAAAAGGAATACTACACACCCCCTGTGTACTTTGATTACGTTGTTTTGGGTGCATGCAGCATACCCAGTGTCCACAACTGGTAAAAGAGGGATTTATACCATTCATGCACAATCCTCATAAGAAACAGATACATCTTTGTCATGTTGTTACATACATTTCTTCCTTGGACTTTGATGTGACAGACCTTGGATTACATTCCCATAACTGAATGTTTTTCACTAGGACATGTCACTGCAGATTTGTAGTTTAGAGAGTTAAAACCACTACCCCTGCTCTCAGTAGAAGAATGGGTCAAAAGCACAAGTCACTGGCGTTCATTCCTTTGTTAGATTTAGTTTATTTACCAGTAAAAAAATATTTATGGGTTATAAGTTTGCTAACTGAAACTCAGTGTTCTTGGTTTATATTTTGGGGTTGGGTTGTTAAGATTATAGGTTTTCACTTCAGCTGAGGTGTGTTTACTCTAAGGGCCCAGCAAACTAAAAGAAACATTTATATATTTTGCATCATTTAAACATATACATATTTCCCGGGCCAGTGCAAGAATTTACACTTGTAGAAAGTAGACTTGTAGGACGTTGCTGAAACCAGCACTTGGTAACCCAGCTGCCCTATGCGTGTTAGTGATATTCCTACATGTGTCACTGTAACCCTACCATTTGTTTTTTCATTATTCTATTTATGTAGAGCCAACAACCGGGCAATCATCACACAATGTTGAAAGAAAACATTCTGCCACTGCCTTCTCCACTAGAGGTGAGAGATGACTTTTTTGTGTGACAATGTTTTAACCAGCTTTGCCTTGCGCTGATACATTTTCATCTTACTGTGCACATTGTCCAAAGAATTGGCTGTGTTTTTGTCCCCCTGATGGAGTTTGTTTTGTGCATTGTAGCCTAACAAGAATCCTGATCATGTGTTGGTCATACACTTGTCAGATTGCCCAGGCGGCCTGATCTTCCAGGTGTGGAGCTGTTCAGTATTGATCCTGAATGCAAATGGTGTAATTATGTAACTGGATTTCCTGCCTAATTGATATTCTAGTACAGCCTTTCTCAACCAGTGTTGCCTCCAGACGTTGCTAGGGTCCCTAGACCAATCACAAATGTAAAGGCATTCTTCCTCAACTGTCTATGTCCCTTGCCCCACTCATCATAGATGTAAGAGGCCTTTCTCCACTGGCCATAAAAATACGGTGTCTTCTCCACTGGCCATCAATATATGGTGCCTTCTCCACTGACCATCAATATACGGTGTCTTCTCCACTGGCCATCAATATACGGTGTCTTCTCCACTGACCATCAATATACGGTGTCTTCTCCACTGGCCATCAATATACGGTGTGTTCTCCACTGGCCATCAATATACGGTGTCTTCTCCACTGGCCATCAATATATGGTGCCTTCTCCACTGACCATCAATATATGGTGCCTTCTCCACTGACCATCAATATACGGTGTCTTCTCCACTGGCCATCAATATACGGTGTCTTCTCCACTGGCCATCAATATACGGTGTAATGTGTTCATATGCCATAGATACCTAATTGTTGCTTATCCTCTTTATCTTTCTTTAGATTAAAGAATTATTGACAAAACCACCCCCGGCTGTTAAAAAATCTTCTGGTAAGATGTGTATGGGAACCTTTTTGTAAGTTCTGATTGAGTGATATGATACTTATTGATGTCATCGGGTTTATGCACTGGGAACATTTTACAGGATAACTCCAGTAAAGCCTTTTTTTTTTTGGTAAGCGTGGCAAATGGCTACAACCCTTATCATTTTTATTTCCCATTGGGAAGACTTTTCTTCACTTCCTGTTCTGGGAACACAACAGAATATTAGAAGGGAAGTAAAGCCAAACCTCTTTTGGGTCACAAGAGTACATTTACTCTTGCTCAATGTTTAAAATAATTGGAATTGAAAAACGAACATCAGCAGAAAAATAATAGGAGAAGAAGAAAAAGGAGTTCATTAGGGCTGATTGGGGTAAACTAAGATTTAATAGTGGGTTACATAGAAACAACATTTATTTTTTAAAAATACTTTTTTTTCTTCTACTTTTTAGGTTGCTTTAGCTGACATCATATGCAGGTCAAAGCTCATCCTTTCAATCTGCAGATGAATTAAACAGAGTAGATTCAAGAGTAAAAATGTAACTTTCTATCTCTCTATGTCATAAGGGGAGGGGGGGGGGGGGGGTGGGTGCTGGGGCGAC